GCTGTAGACTTGGCTTCTATCTTCCATGGATGGATGGAGTGATTGGTAGACTCCGTCAGGTTCCAAACTCTGTGGGAACATTACAGAATTGATTTACAGGATCAGGATAGAACCAAAGTAACCACACCAAAGTCAATCTGTGAAAAAATCAAACATGTCTACAAAAAGAGCACATTTGTAAAAGAAAAAGAAATGTTTCAATCCAGCTTCCTTGGCGTTCTTTCTAACTTTCTTTCTTTCTTTCTTTCTTTAAATCAGCAAAGAGTGAGCGACACAACAGGTATATGTTGCCTGGATATGAAATAAATGTGACCTCAATAATTACTAATACTCACATTGAACTGAACCGTGCATTTTCATATCCTGCATTTACAGGCTTGAAGTAATGAACTTTTTCTTTTTTTTGGCTTGTTTTTGTATTCATACAATTCAAATTTTATCACAGGCGGCACAGTCATAAAGTGGTTCGTACTGTTGCCTCATAGCTCAAAGGTTTGAATCTCAGTCTGGAATCTTTCTGTGTGGAGTTTGCATGTTCTCCTTGTTCAGCGTGGGTTCTCTCCGGGTTCTCTGGCTTCCCTGGTTTAGGGTCTAAGACCTGTAACATGTCACTTCAAGACATGGTGCTGCTGGAATAATCAAATGAGAAGCATAAAATATATAAGGATAAAAGAAAGGCAAACAAACTGACCTCTTGTGCATCGTCCTGTGGAGAAGCAGCACTTGACACAGCTTCTGCAAACACATGCGTTTAGACAGTATTTGTTAATATTACTGATGGAGGCTTCACTGATGCTGCTGCATTCCTGCAATGTCTGTTGGTGTATGGGTGTGTGTCTTACTCAGTTGTCTCCTCATAAGTCTCCACAGGATGATCAGTGTGGTTAGTATGACAATGACACCTATAGTCACATACAGAACACTTCCTGTCCAAAGACAAAGAAAGATGATGATGTCGTCAGCAGAAATCTTTCCCACAACATATTATATTAAGAGCAGTTTACTCATCACATCCTCTTTACTTTAAATGATTTTTCAAAGAATTAAAAACTTTCCCCCCCACCAAATACGTCAATATTAAGTTTCTATTGATGACCAGAATCCTGAGACTATAAAAAAGTAAGAAAATGCAAATATCAACACTGGACTGAAACACTAAAGGATTATAACAACATGTGTGCACATGTGCAATATACAGTATATAAGTGTACATCATTGATTTTGCTATTCATCAAAACACAGAGAGCATTTAACATAAACTTGTGTTGGATAACAGTCTGTAACTGCAGGTCAGAAAGGATTACATTAATTATCAGTAAAATACATGTTTTAATATATTGACCATGGTGCTGCAGTAGCATTATATCATTAGTAANCTGGCTTCATTTTCTCAGTGCAGAAACCAACGGGTGACGTCACGGTAGCTACGTCCATCTTTTATACAGTCTATGGTCTATATGTAGAAAACGTCTCATACATTTTCCATTCTTGTACTGGACTGAGCCCTACATTTTCAAGTCCTACATTTAGAGGCTTAAAGCAATAACTTTTTACATTCATACACTAAATCTGTACATTAACAAAAACAAAACAAATATGATCACATTAGCCACCTTCAGGTTGCACACGGCAGCTGAGCAAGGGAGTAAAGACAGTCATTTTCAAAGCTTTCCGACTGAGTTGGTTCACATTCTCCGGTTTCCCTTTCGGGGAGCTGAACAACAGAGTACACCTGATCACTTTCTGCACATGCACCTCTTAAACTGACCTCAAAGCTGGAAGCTGGAGTTAAAGAGACATCTTTCGAATACTTAGCGTCTGATTCAGTGCCTTGGAGATAGGAGTAATTTGCATAGAGACTGTCTGGGTCAGCGTCAGTGGTGGCAGTAGGAGCTGCAGGTCGCTGTTCAGTTTGCAGGTCTTCGTGTCTGATTTCGTCATATTCAACATCCTTAAAATTAAAACAGTGAGAAAAAAAAAGAAGAAGTACTAAATATATATTGCAGGAAAGGAAATACAAAAGCTTGAACACCAACTCTCAGTGTTAAAGCTTTGACACAACAAAAAGTTTTGATGCCAAAGTCAAAATCTCACTAATTACATCCAATTTGTATAATTTCTTTATTGACGATAAGAGTTTTAGCCTTCAAATAAGTGCCAGTTTTGATTTTTAGATTTTTAGTCATGTGCATTATCAAGATGGGCAGATGTCACAGTATTCTACATTCACTAATTTCCAGAGTTGTCACCATGAAATTGCCCTAAAACATCAGAAAAGTTGGGCCACTATACTAAAGGTGTGAAATCTCACTTTAAGACATGGTGCTGCTGGAAAATTTAATTACAACCTTATATGCAGAGAACACACTGAACTCAGCTCTTTCAAAATTATTAAAACACACTAGAAAGTTCTCAGAAATCAAGGAAGACCAACATATTTACCTCTTGTGCATCTTCCTGTGGAGAAGCAGCACTTGACACAACTTCTGCAAACACATGCGGTTGGAAAATATTTGACAATATTAATGTTGGAGGCTTAACTGATGCTGCTGCATATCTGCAATGTCTGTCACCGTGTGTGTCTTACTTAGTTGTTTCCTGGCTCTCCTCATGAGCCTCCACAGGATGAGCAGTGCGGTAAGTATGATAATGGCACCGACAGTTAAATACAGAACACTTCCTGGCCAAAGAAAAAGAAAAAAGAAGCTGTATGAAGAAGAAATTTTTATCACAACTTATTATACAAAGAACAGTTTACTCATCACATCCATATTGCTATAAATTAATCTTCAAATGTAGTATTTTTTTCTTTCTTTTGCTTTTTTAACAAGATCTGTTGATATTAAATTTCTCTTAATGAATCAACAATAAAATATGTTTCAATATAAAACAAGTAAACTTCATACCACTTCTTTGTGAAGCTGATGCAGTAGGTGTCGTATAAAGTGCTGTGTATGAATCAGACAAATTAGTAAAGATATTCAGTTCGGTTGTAGGGATGGTGGAGCTTTTTGTAACATCAAGTGACACATCAGACACTACAGTGACTGTGTCGACAGCTGTTGTAGGACCTGGAAGAAGAGATGGAAATGACAGAGATAATATACTGTATATTGCTTCATTAACTAACTGGGATGTAAAGTTTTGACAAAAGGAAGCTATTTTGTTGAAAAAGAAGTGCATAAACTTACCATCTATAACTTTAAGATTCAGCTCTATATATGAATCACGAACAGACCGATCAACTCCACAGTAATATTTTCTGGCGTCTGACTTTTTGAGATTAATGAAGGTCACATATAAACCTTCTGGTCCATTAAATAACTCTATTCTGTCCTTTTTTTTAGCTTCTCCATATTTTACTTTGATGATGATGTGTTTGTCTTCTTTACATGGACTTTTACAAATGTATTTATCATTAGATTTTACACCTATCCAAACGTTCCACTTCTCACAAAGAACTGTTATATTTTTCCCAACATGTCCCACTACGTCGAGAGTCTCCGTCTCCGTCTCCACAATCATCAGGACTAGAAATAAAAAATATAGGAAACATTTTAAAGTTGCCACAGTGTCAATGAATACATGGATTGAAATACAGACATTTCCATTAACACTGATCCATTTTATTATCTGCACTGTCAAAAACATCACTCTCTTCAAAAAGTAAATGACTTCACTTCTCATTTA